CTGAAGCGCCACAATTATGCAGCATTTCCTTCTTTCTCCAACCACCCNAAATCTGAACAAGAACAGCACATGGTACAACACTACACAGCAAAGTATTGTGGGGTGCATAGAAGCAGCAAGGGTACGTAAAAAGACCAGAGAGAGAGAGAGAACAACACGGCTGAGAAAAGAGAGAGACAAGGAAGGAAAGACAGTAAAACCAGCATACATACGTACAGACAGACAGACCTCAGATATCCTGGGCGTCACGTGAGAGCATGCGGATGAGAGCAGGCCCCATCCCGTGGCACGCCATCCCTCTGCCAAGTCGTGCAAAGCACACATTCTGCGACACTGAGGATAACGCATTCCCACTAAAGTACTCGCCCTTAGTGAGCAGAAAGTAGTCCACGGCGAGCGCACACAGGCCCTCTGCGCAGTCCTCAAACTGGGCATAGTGCTCCTTGTCATACAGACGTGCACCATGCGCCGCCAGCAGTTGGACTGTGTATAGGTCCTGACTGTCGTGTGCCACGAAGAGCGGGAAGGCGAAGAGCTGCAGGCCCAGTGAGGCGTGCAACGCGGCAAGATACGGGATGCTGATGTTGCACTGCGCACGTAGCTGCTGCTCTTCCTCTGGCCGCATCTCAGTGTATCGCCGCAGCGCAGGGAGGTGCACATCCATCTCCTTGTTGCACATAAGCTCACGGTGCCGCACGTGCACAGCGAAGAAGCGGCTGCGTGTGGTGAAGGAGTGGCGGAGAAAGGCATCTACTCTTTGCTGCACACGCAACGACGGCCGCAGAAGAGCGTAAATCGCAGCATGATGCACAAGCCCGCGACGGAGAAAAAAGGCATACGCACCACCAAGCACCACGAGATCAGCGTGCGCCGCACGTATAAGCGGAACAACACGCCGCATCACAGACTCATGATCCATCCATGAAAAATACGGCGGCAGCCGTGGGGACTGTTTTAGTAGACGCAGATGGCGCGACAGGTGACGCAGTGGAGTGTCGCGTACACACTGACCATAGCATGCGTAACTGCCGCCACCCAAAAGACCTGTGCGGTTTAACTGCTGATGCATCACATCAGTCGTGACCACGCAGTAACGCTGTGCAACTGTTGAAAAGTCATACAGCTCTGCAGGATCCATCCACTTCTTTCCAATACGAAACCACCCCAAAACAGCCGTACGATTGAGCAGCGCCGCCCACATGATGATGTTCATAAACTCTTGAAGTTGGTTGTGGTGTCGACCATACGTGTGGGTATTAACAAATATGTACCGATTGGGGCAAGAGACCATGGCTTTAGTCGCCTTACTCTCAAATGAGACCTCTTTCTTGTGCACATGGTAAACGTACTGCATTTCCTGTTCTGTCAGTGTTAGTGTATCATGGGTGCCGTTAAACGCGTACATCATCACCGCTGCCT